TTCTAAGACACATTAAGTTGATTTGATGCTACAGTTTGCCTTGTAATGTTATTTTATACCTTTTCTGCTACTTTTGATGGCCTAAAATTTCATGGCGATATCTTGAACACTGAGAAAGTTATGAGCAAAATTAGAAAACAGCAAGGTGAAATGGTCACAAAGGCTCCATTGTTTCTGCTGTGAACTGCAGCAAGAAAATATGAACTGATTTCACCTAAACAAACATCAATAACTTCCCTCAGACTTCAGATGATCACATGATTTTGGTGTTATTTTGTCTGGTTTGAAAAGTTCTTTTGGAATCCGCTGTCAGATTTAAAATTGGTGTAGGATTAAAAATTTATCCACATCCCTAATTAATATGACGTTGAGTCGTCGATGGTGGACCCCATAGAAATGAATACGAGAGGTCAGTTGCAGGGCGGTGACTAGCTATGCTACAGGCCACTGTATTATTTTGCATTGGGGACTTACTGCGCACGTCCAAAATCTTCCAAAGACTTGCCGATGGGAGTCTGGGGCGGCTAACAACTGGTGACCCGGAAGTGAATAAACACGAAAAAGTTCATGAGTAAAATGGAAGTTTACACATCAGTAACTCTAAATTATTTATTTTACTTATCACAAAACATATAAACAATATTTTTTTGAAACATTTATAATGTTTTATTTAGTTATTTTATTTATTTTTTAATTTTTTGTGTACAAAAAACTAATGGTGGGGCGGCACCCTAGCGCCCCCTATTGACCAGCCACCACTGGTACAGCTCATGATCCAAAGCATAACACATCATCTGTAAGAAACAGCAGAGCACTGTGATGGCTTGGGCATGCACAGCTGCCAGTGGCACTGGGTCACTGGTGTTTATTGATGATGTGACACAGGACAGAAGCAGCCGAATGAATTCTGAGGTRTTCAGAGCCATACTGTGTGCTCAGATCCAGCCAAGTGCAACCAAACTGACTGGTCATTGTTTCATACTACAAATGGACAATGACCCAAAACATAAAGCCAAAGCAACCCAGGAGTTTATTAAAGCAAAAAAGTGGAATAATCTTGAGTGGCCAAGTCAGTCACCTAATCTCAACCCAGTTGAGCATTTCACTTGTTTAAGACTAAACTTCAGACAGAAAGGCCCACAAACAATCAGTGAAGGCCTGACAGAGCATTAAAAAGGAGGAAACACAGCGTCTGGTGATGTCCATGAGTTCAAGACTTCAGGCAGTCATTGCCAACAAAGGCTTTTCAACCAAGTACTAGAAATGAACATTTTATTTAATCTGTCCAATTACTTTTGAGCCTCTGAAATGAAGGGATTGTTTAAAAGATGCTTTAGTTCCTCACATTTTTATGCAATCATTTTGTTCAGCCCACTGAATTAAAGCTGAAAGTCTGAACTTCAACTGCATCTGAATTGTTTTGTTTACAATTCGTTGTGGTAATGTCTAGAAACAAAATTAGAAAAATGTCGTCTCTGTCCAAATGGACCTAAAT